ACATACAAGATGATCAGAGGATTAGATAGGGTGGACAGTGGGAGCCTTTTTCCTCGGATGGTGATGGCTAGCACGAGGGGACATAGCTTTAAATTGAGGGGTGATAGATATAAGACAGATGTCAGAGGTAGGTTCTTTACTCAGAGAGTAGTAAGGGCGTGGAATGCCCTGCCTGCAAAAATAGTAGACTCGCCCACTTTAAGGGCATTTAAATGGTCATTGGATAAACATATGGATGATAATGGAATAGTTTAGGTTAGATGGGCTTCAGATTGGTTTCACAGGTCGGCGCAACATCGAGGGCCGAAGGGCCTGTACTGCGCTGTAATGTTCTATGTTCTAGTATGGCTTACATGTGACCCATAGAAATGCGGCTTAATCTTAACCGCCCAAGAGGTAGCCAACTAAATCACTCAGCAGGGTTTGAGAACACTCTAACTAATCTCTGTTTATTTTTGAGGTGTTTGTGTGTACCCACAGCATCGTTGCAATATTGAAAATCTGATTATAGGAAACTGTTGTGTTTCATCACTCAATTATAACCTCAATGTTTAAACACTTTAAAAGAGAGAGAAAAAAGATTCAGACTTTAACATACCAGGCCTCCATTCCTTGTTGATTCACTATTATTGCTGCACAATTGATGTCAGGTTCTATGTTTGCGTCATTGTGGAGGAAAACTACAACAAAAAAAAAGTGAAAATTAGAAACTAAATATTTCTGAGCTGTTGTATGGGCCAGGGTTGGAAATACTGAGAATGGATGGTGTTTGATGTTCTAGATGGTGTGCTGTGGTGTCATGAGGGTCTACATTCAGCAGATCAGCAGTGAGTGGAGACAACATGAGCATCTGTAGAAAATGTCAGGCCTTTCCTACTCAACAAGGTTCCACAATCACCAATGAGATGGATGGGCAGTGAACCTGCCTATTCCCATTGGGTCAGAGGGTAAAGAATGCTGGCCAGGACACCAAGACAGGCTCATTCTCACTTTTATTAGATCATAATCATCGAATCCCTACAGTGTGGGAACAGGCCCTTCTGCCCAGGAAGTCCACACTGACCCATCCCCCTATTACCCACCTAATCTACACATCCCTGAACACTATGGGCAATTTAGCATGGCCAATCCACCTAGCCTGCACATCTTTGGACTGTGGGAGGAAAGTGGAGCACCCAGAGGAAACCCACACAGACACGGGGAGAATGTGCAAACTCCACACAGTCGCCCGAGGGTGGAATCGAACCTGGGTCCCTGGTGCTGTGAGGCAGCCGTGCTAACCACTGTGCTGCCCCAAATGGCACAATCTGGGTCATTCTGTATCTGCAGCACATCTTACACCGTGTGAGAGATTTCTTTATCTGTTCAAATCAATGGTTAAAGTTTATTGGACAAGGGGTCAAATAATCTTCCTTTTTGACCATCACCCATTCTTTTCCTATTAGCTGAGGTGAAAATGTCACTCTGTACCAAATGGTTTCATGGAAACTGTACCATCCCCCTGAACCAGCTCATTCTAAGGACAGTTTCTCTAACAGTGCAGCACTCCCTCAAGTCCTGGAGTGGGCCTTCTATCTTCCAATCTGGAGAAAATTAACAATGGAGTCAAGCTTCTATGTGTCACAATCACAGGTGGAGGAGACTGTCATAGAATCATAGAATCCCTACAGTGTGGAAACAGGCCCTTTGGCCCAACAAGTCCACACCGAACCCCAGAGCATCCTACCCAGGCCCGTTCCCCAATGACCCACCTAATATACACCCTCTACCTCCCTGAACACTACAGGCAATTTAGCATGGCCAACCCACCTAACCTGCACATCTTTGGACTGTGGGAGGAAACCCACGCAGACATGGGGAGAATGTGCAAACTCCATGCAACAGTCGCCCGAGGCTAGAATCGAACCCAGGTCCCTTGCGCTGTAAGGCAGCCATGCTAACCACTGTGCCACCCCGTCATGTCCTTCCAGAATGGGTCCACCATTGGAAAATGGAATATTACAAGGAATTGCACAGAATATAAGCACAGAGACAGGCCATTCATCCCAACAAGTCATTCTGAGGTTTATGCTCCACTCCTCCCAGCTGCTTTCATCTAACTCTCCCAGTGGAACCTCTATTGTCTTCCCACTCTTACACTGATCTCGTAACCCTTATATACATCTGCCTGTACAATTGAACATCAATGCATCTTATGATGAGAGTGTTCAGCATTCTCATCATTCTCCAGGTGAGCAGCCAATTATGGAATTCTTGATTTTAGTGTCAAATTGTATTGTGGTAATGTTAGTGATCTAGGTATCCAGAAACTGGGATTAGTAATCAAAGGATATGATTCAAATTGCACCCTGGCTACTGGGCCATTTAAAATCAATTAATTCCATGAAGTCTGAACAAAAAAAAAACTGGTATCAATAATGGTGCAATTGGATTGTCATAAAACTCACCTGATTCAGCAATGTCCTTCAGGGAAGGAAATCTGTTGTCCTTACCTGGTCTGGCCTACACGTGACTCCAGAGCCACAGCAATGTGGTCCACTCCCAATAGAGGCGAGCAATCTCACAACCACCTTCTCATTAGCAAAAACAATGGCCCTACTGGTGATGCCCTTTCCCACAAATTAACACAAAAGAAATTTGATTTCTTGGTGAGCATCTTGGGTTTTAGAGTTACTTTTCACCACAAGTGGAAACACCAACATAGGAGCCTCAGTTAATGTGTTGATAGTTTGCCTCTTAGCCATATTCAAGGGAAAACAGGGACCCAGTCTATTCATCTTTTCCTGATGATTATAGCTTTGCAGTTTGGCTGTCACCTTTGAATTTTTTTCCACCCACTTCATTGTCTCCAAGTCAATTTTGAGGGACAGTTGCCTGAGGAAATTAGAGCTTTCCAACTGCATATTCTTTATTTGCAAAGGAATGAAAAATTAAAGTTGAGATTAACAGTGTATTGGTTCACTTACAGTTACAGTTCATGTTACAGCCATTGGGACCATTTGGAAACATTACATCTGAGCACCACCATTTACTGCTGATCTGAAAGATCCCATAGTCTCCTGACTGGATTTCTCCATTATTTCCTCTCTCGTCGTATTTTGCAAGTGTGTTGTATTGACTCTCATAGTGGGCCATGCACACCCCTAGAATAAAAACAAATGAAAGAAGAAGCTAATACTCTGGGTACATGGGTGCAAGTCTCACATAGAAAGATAGCAAATAAGAGCAAGAATGGGCCTTTGAGTTGGCTTCGCCATTCAATATAATCATGGCTGATTATCCAACTCAGACCCTTTTGCCCACTTTCACCCCATACCTTTTGATTTTACCATTACAGATGGTGAGATTTGAATTAAATTAATAACCATAGAGTTAAAAATCTAGTCTAATAACAACCATGAAACCATTGTACATTGACATTAAAAACCCATCTCGTTCATTAATATCCCTTTAGGGAAGGAAATCTGCCATCCTTCCCTCCTCTGGCCTACATGTGACTCCAGCATCACAGACATGTTGTTTATTCTTAAATGTGCTCTGAAGAGGCAATAAGACATTCAATTGTATCCAATCATACAAAGCTGAAGCAAAGGAATGAACCTGGCTTTGAAGTAGGGTCTGGAAAAGGCAATGGCAAACCCGGCCCTGCTGACCCGACAAAGTCCCAGGTGTGTTAAAATTGGCAGAGGTATAGAACATAGAACACAGAGCAGTACAGCACAGTACAGGCCCTTCGGCCCATGATGTTGTGCCGAAATTTTACCCTAAACCTAAGGTCTATCTAACCTCCACCGCTACCTTATACTATCATCCATATGCCTATCTAATAGCCGCTTAAATGCCCCTAATGAGGCCGACTCCACTACCCTTTCCAGCAATGCATTCCATGCCCCTATCTTACAGATGAGTCACCAGCAGTCTGAAATAGTCCTACTCACAGTATCATACCTTATAGACAATGCCCAAGTCACAAGTACAAAGGAAGGTGGTTATGGTTGTTGGAGGTCAGTCATCTCAGCTCCAGGACATCTCGACTGGAGTTTCAGAGCATATTCAAAGCAACTAGGGATGGGAAATGAATAATGGCCCAGCCAGCACTGCCCACATCCCATGAATGAATAAAATATCATTCCATCAATAATACTGAAGACTTGTGCTCCAGAACTACTGCACCCTTAAACATGTTCAAATTCGAAGTCATTTCCATCAAATCCCTATAGTGTGGGAGCAGGCCATTCATCCCATTGAGTCCACACCCTAACCCTTTGAAGAGCAAACCAAACCAACCCCTCCACCCTATCTCTATAACCTGCATTTCCCACGGCTAACCCACTTAGCCTGCACATCCCTGGACACGATGGGCAATTTCCCATGGCCAGTCCACCCTAACCTGCACATCTTTGGAGTGTGGGAGGAAACCGGAGCAGCTGGAGAAACGCATGCAGACACGGGGAGAATGTGCAAACTGCACGCAGGCAGTTGTCCGAGGGTAGAATCAAACCTGGGTCTCTGGTGCTGTGAGGCTGCAGTGCTAACCACTGAGCCACCATGCTGGACCATGCCATACCATGCCACACAGTCTAAAAGCATCTACCTGGCAATCAAACAGCATTTGCTTATCAATGACCTGATCATTCAGTCTGGGTTTTGCCAAGACAATTTATCACAGCCTTGGTTCAAATTTGGACAAAAGAACTGAATTCCAGACGTGAGGTGAGATTGTCCTTGACATCAAGGCTGCATCTGACCAAGTGAGGCACTGAGGAGCCCCAGCAAAACTAGAATCAATGGGAATCAGGGGGCAAACCCTCCACTGGTTTGACTCATACCTGGCACCTCGGAAGGTGGTGGTGGCTGTTGAAGGCCAGTCATCTCAACTCCAGAGTGCCCTAGGCCCAACCACCTTCAGCTACTTCATCAATGACCTTCCCTCCATCATAATATTCAAGGCTGTGAACCTAGTGCAGGAAAGTGGGACTCGCGTAGATAATAGTGTATTTTAGCCAGTATAGACTTGATGGGCCGAAGGACCTCTGTACTGTATGATTCTATAAAACCAGAAGTATGGATGTATGTGATGTTTCCGCAATGTTCAGCACCGTTCAGGAGTCCTCAGATGCTGAAGCAGTGCATGTCTAATTACAACAAGACCCGGGCAATACACAGGCTTGGGCTGTCACGTGCCACACAAGTGCCAGGCAATGATCATCTCCATCAAGGTAGAACCTAACCATCTCCCTTTGACATTCAATGTAGCAGCCTCTGTGGAGAATCAAAATCCCTGAAATCCAGAGGCATGATGAGAAGAAATAATGCTCAGAAAAAGTCCTCCTTGATCTGCTTAGGTGGTCAAAACTGATCAAGGAGCTTACAGAGGCTAAGTGTAACTTATAATGACAGTTACCTTCTAAGCGATGTGAACTGTGCACAGTCAGGAATGAAATCAGCTCTTTCTTAGTGTTGGAGTCAGCTGCTTGTGCACCAGCTAACTCCAGAAGCTCAGGCAGTGAGGTTCTAAGAAGATCCTGCCAAACATGGGTTATGGTCAATGATACTGCAGATGCTGCAGTGATCTGTCATTGCCTTCTGCTAACACTCTAACTCTTACCATCAGCCAGCCATTGTGCATATTGAAAGGATTTACAGGTTAACCATCAACGTCTTTTGCCATTTAATGAACAAACCTTCCATTGTCAACAAGTCTGAGAGTGGGACTCGAAAGCAAAGCTGTGACTCAGAGGCAGAGTTACTCTGCATTATACTGCAAAGCCTTCTAACAGAGGCTTATAGCTCTCTGTAAAAAGAACTACCCACCATTAGGTCTATTCCTAATCATTCTTTGTTTAAAATAAAGATAAATTTATTCACTCTAGACCAGGCTCAGACATTCCTCACCCCACCTTGGCTCACTCACTGACTTACAAAACCATAAAGACGAAATACAGTCTCTAAACTATGAATGCATTTGCCACGACTGAGATAGGATTGAGATGTTACTCACAGTCAGCCACACTGTATTTGGGGAATTCAGCCAGGATGGAATTCTTTACAATGCGAGCAAATTCACATCTTGAAAGGACTCTGGCGCTGGAGACAGTGAGCAGGACACTGAGAACAACAAGTATCTTC